CATTGCCATAGACGCAGCAGGTATTAGCCCCTGCTTAGCAGATGTTACCCCCCTGGCTATCTGTTGACTACTATCTACTTTCTGATTACTACTAGTGGTTCCTCAATGTGTGTGTGCACGTGTATGTGTATAATATATAATCTCCCTTCTGGATCACTTCCCGCTCCTTTCTGCTATCCACTGACAGCCTCAATGCACTAACTCTTTAATACATTCTTAACTGCTAAGAAAGTTGCATTATTGTTGTTGCTGTTAAGCACTAATGAGTCGGTTCCAACTTACAGCAACGCTATACAGGGTTTACAAGAAGCAGCTGGTGTATTTGAACCACTGACCTTACAGTTAGCAGTCCAGTGCTTATCCTACAGCACCACAGCAGGACTCCAAGAAAGTAGCAGTGATGGTGTTGGTTGTATGTCACTGAGTCGGTTCTAATTCACTGTGACCCTGTATAGAGTTTCTGAGGCTGTAAATCTTTAAGGGAGCAGAGAGCGTCATCTTTCTCCCATGAAGCGAATGGTAGATTCGAACTGCTGATCATGCAGTTAGCAGCCCAGATCGAAATCCATGCGCTGCCAGAGCTCCTTCAAGAAAGTAGCAGTCATGCTAATTATGGTTTTCGGTGTAGAAAGCACCTCAGGCTTTCAATAGCTAAACAGTGGCTAAATGGATTTTGATCACATATAATGTTGTTTTTGTTGTTAAGTGCCACTACAGTGACCCTGTATAGGATTTCTGAGGAGCAGCTGGTGAGCTTGAACCGCCGATCATGCGGTTCAAATCAACTTTGCAGTACTGTGTATTAACTCCCAGCGTCACACCAGGACTCCACAAATAACGTAATGACACAACACACAAACTTCCAGAGAGAGAATTACATGGTAGTTATGAGGGCTATTTATAGAGTCAGAGCCAAGCACTGCACCAGCTGGGCTCTTTCGGAGATCATCTAACTTGTCTTAGGTGGTGCTGTTATTATCGTTAAGTGCTATGGAGTTGGTTCTGACTCATAGTGCTACTGTATACACTCAGTTTATTCTTTATCAAGTGGTGACTAACAGTCCTCATGCACCTTCACTAATACTGGCTGTTCTCACTGCGTGTCTGTGTGTCTGTGTGTGTGTGTGGTGGCGGGAAAGGTTGGTAGAAGTAAGGCGTGAGGGTTAGGTTTGGGACTATGGGTAAGTCTAGGACTTAATTTATTCTTAGGGTTATGGTTGTTGTGAAGTATTGTCGAGTCAGTTCCGACCCATAGCGACCCTGCATAGGGTTTTCGAGGAGCAGCTGGTGAGCTTGAACAGGCGACCTTACGGTTCAAACGTCTTTGCAGTCTGGTGCATTAACCCTAGGACTAGGTTAATATTAAGGGTAAGGGAAGGGGCTAGGTTAGTATTAAGGGTAAGAGAGTAAGGCTTGACGTCGTTTTTAAGGTAACAGGCTTATTTATATTTATTTATTAAAATCCATTTAATTTCCTTTCCATTTGGAAGTTCTGTAACTACATTATTCCTTCTTTTACTTTATGGGTTTTTTTGTTGTTGTTGTTACAACTGAATGTCTAGTTCTCTATTTTCAGTCTTCTAGGTCGGGGAAATCCTACGCAGGGTTGCTATGAGTTGGAAGCAACACAATGGCACAAAGATTGCTATGAGTTGGAATCGACCACCACCACCAGGTCTGCTTACATACTTCTATATCTGGGCTGAGTCTACGCAATACTCTCATGTATGCTAGTCTTAGTTTGTTGTCTACTGTTGGTTCTCTATCCAAAGAACTCCCTTTAGCATTTTTTTTGTAAAGTTGGTCAGGTTTATCCAACACCTTTTAATTTGTATTTGTATGGAAATGACCTAAATTTGCCACTATATTTGATGGACAATAATGCAAGACATATGATTCTTTGTTGGCAGTTTTTTTTTTTTTTAAAGAATTTTATACATGTCATTCTATTGTCTTCTTGCCTGTATGGTTTCTGCTAAGAAATCAGAGCTTAGTATTATCAGTTCTCTTTTGTAGGTAACTTTTTGTTTTTCTTTGGTTTTGAAAAGTTTGATTATAATATGTTTTAGTGTTTTTCTTTTGGAGGCTATCCTGTTTGGAGTTCTTTCCATGTCTTGACTGGCCATCTTCTCAAGTTTCTTGATGTTAGGGAAGTTTTCTTCAAACACTTCTTGGACAATATTCTTTATGTTTTTGTTTTTTGTTTTGTCTTTTTCTGTTCGGGAATACCTATCACATTTATCTTGATAGTGTCCCACATAAATCTTAGGCTTTCTTCAAAAAAAAATTTTTTTTTTTTTTTGGTTTGGACTGTTCTTCTAGCAGATGAATATTGAGAGACTGTTCTTCAAGTTCAGTAATTTGGCTTTTCATTGATTCGATTCTATTTCTTTGCCCTTTCAGTATATTATCTATTGCTGAAGTCTTATTGCTAATCTTCTGGCTTTCTAATTGCTGCTTTTAAATAGTTTCCATTTATTTTGCCATTTTTTCCCTGAGTTTTTCCATAGTTTTGTCTATGTTTTCCTTGATTTCATTTGTAGTTTTCTTGATCTTTCTCACAGTTGGTTGAAGTTGTCAAATTAACATTGTTTTAAATTCCTTATCAGGTAGTTCTAATACCATTTTTGGTGTTATATTTCTGACTCTACTTTGATTGCTTGTTTGGGGCACTTTGCCTTGTTTCTTCATGTAAGCTGAAATTGTCTGTTTTCCCTGAGATATTATGGTGTCAGCTAATGGTTCAAGCTTACCAGCAGCTCCTCAGAAAGTCTATACAGGGTTGCTAGGGGTCAGAACAGACTCGACGGTACTTAACAACAACAACAACTGTATATTGATGTATTCTCAGGTACTCACCACCTGTCTCCTGGTGGATGTGGAAGAAATTGGAAATGTGAACATAACTCTGTGTTCATTGTTTGTGTAACATAGTTCCAGGCAGCTTCATTCGCTTCCAGAAGCTGGGCTGCTATGCCAGGTGCTCAACTTCAGGCAGAGCGAGCAGAGGCTGCCCAGGAGGAGGTTCCACTGGCCACTGGGTTGATGAAGGTGGGGACTGGCCACTCTTCTATCTACCAGGAAAGTACCCCCTTGCTGCCAACCTCCAGCCAGATCCTGTGCCTGCAGGCCACTAAATCAACAGCTGTTTGTAAAAACTCAAGATGGCCATGACATGCCACGACAGCCCACAGTCCTCTTGTTTTCCTTCTCTCCCACTGCTCGTGTTCAGCTTCCTCTTCCAGTCAGCACTCAGTCCATCTCTCAGTCCTGTCCTCTGACGCTCACGGTTTCGACTCAGTGTGTCTGCAAACCATGCCATCTTGCCTGGTCTTCTCATTTGTTTCTTTCATTTTGTATTGGACAAAGGTTTACAGAACAGATCAGTTTTCCATTCAACAATTCATACACATTTTGTTTATCTCATTGCAATCTCTATAATGAAACACGACTCATCTCACTTCCTTGAATGCTGAGGAACAGTACGTAGGGCATTGTGGCTGCAGCACAGGGAACAACAAGGAAGTGTGGTAATAGTAAATGAGGTTGGAGAGATGATACTGGGATGTCAGATCACGTAGGTCTACCTTGCAGGCATTGAAAAGGCTTATCCTACAGTGCCACATTAGGAGGAAATGGAAGTTAAATGACTGAAGTTTCCTGAAGGCAGGGGACTTTTGCCTGGTTTGCTCACTGGGTATCTCCAGTGCACAGAATAATGAGAGTCTTGTTGTTGTTGTTGTTAAGTGTCACTGAATCAGTTCTAAAACAGAGCAACACTGTGTAGGGTTTATAAGGTGCAGCTGGTGGGTTTGAACTGCTGACCCTGTGGTTTACAGTCCAGTGCTGATCCTATAGCTCCATACTAGGAGTCCAATGAGAGCCTGGCAGTTGTTAAAAATTTGTTGAAACAAACAAAAAAAAAGGGACTAGAGGGAATAGTCTTTTATTAATGAAAACATAAGCAGATGTAATGAACAAACAGAAGAGCACTGCATGTACTAGGGAACTGGTCTTGCAATTACACAATCTACCAAAATATGCACCAAACATTTCAATCAAGGATGGTCAACTTTATAATAACTAAAACAAGGCTGAACCTTCCAATTTAAATTCAGCCACTTTCTTGTAAACTTCTTCCCACCCCTTAGATTATGTGTTTCTACCCGGCAGGAGCTACTTTTTTTAACCCTCTAATCAGAGCAGAGCACATTGGTTATAGGTGCTTCACTAACATGCATTTAGACTGTTGGAATCCTACTGAAGTATATATTTACCATAGTAAAATGCTTAAGGGGGAAAATTCGGACAACTCAGCAGCATTTATCATTACTAACATTTTTGCCTTCCACAGTAAACTTTGAAATTACATTCTAATTTGAGATGGTTCTGGTTTGACAAGTTAACTCTTGAGACAAGTGAGTACAGTATTATGAAAGAACACAACTGTTCATCAACCCTTTATGCCAATGTTAATTTCTTTAAAAAGTAGGATTTTAATGTTTTTTATTCCTACAGTGACCCTTAAAACTTCTATGTATATAATCACAAATGCACTCACAAGATGCATTTACAAGCTTATTGTGTAGTTCTAAAGACAGTTGGGAAACCCAATTTTAATTTTGTTACTGAAATAATTCAAAAATATATTATAGAACTGCCTCTTTTCAATCAACAGCAAAGATCTAGAAAGAGATTATACAAGTAGGCACAATTTATTCAGGTTTATTAGTGTTAGAAAAATGAAGTTGTCTAACTTCAAATTGTAACAAGTATGCTTATGTTTATTTAATTTTTCATATTACCACAGATATCAATGTATATCATTTTCTTATGCCTTTTAGAAAACTTGGATGATAATTATTTGACAAAGGTATATTATGTATATAATGAACTGATATGCTAAAATATGGAAAATTACTTTCAGCAAATGTGCACAATTTTCTGATGACCTCAGAAAATATCTTTGGGATTTACATGATCAGATAAAGGGGACTCACCGACTTTTATTCATGAGGTCCGCTCCCCGTGCTTTGTAATAATCCAAATTTTGATGGAATTGGTAAGTCACTGGTCTTGGATTTCTCTAAAGAAAAAAAAAAAAACAAAACATGTAAATTAAGTATGTTGTTGTTATTGTTAAGTGCTGTGGAGTTGGTTCTGAGTCATAGTGATCCTATACAAGGTTTTCAAGGAGCAGCTGGTGAGCTTGAACTGCCAATCTTGTGGTTCACACCGCCCTTTCAGTCCAGTGCATTAACATACAGCACCACACCAGGAACACAAATCAAGTATAAAACATTTAAAATCATGTACACACACATAAAATGGACAAATTATTGTTTTTAGATTCCTTCTGAAAAAAATTTGTATGATTAAGCTTAATAATTAGTGTGTCTGGGGTTTTGCTTTTATTGTTCAAGTTTCGCCTTAACTGATCTTAGTTCTGATAAATCACTGAAATTATTTTACTGTATTTCACTTTTACCTGCCTCATACTTCACACAAATTTGTTCTATTTTGATTTTGATGCCCTTGACTACTTGCAAATATAACTTCCTAAAATATAATTAGATGAGATCGTTGTTGTTGTTAGGTGCCATTGAGTCGGTACCGACCCATAGCAATCTTATGCACAGCAGAACAAAACACTGCTCGATCCTGGGCCAACCTCACTACCATTGCCAAGCTTGAGTCCACTGATGCTGCCACTTGGCCAATCCATGTCGTTGGGGGTCTTCCTCTTTTTCTATGACACTCCACCTTACCAAACATGATACCCTTCTCCAGCGACTGGTCCCTCCTGACAATATGTCCAAAATACGAGAGATGAAGTTTGGCCATATTGGCCTCCAAGAAGCACTCTGGCTACACTTCTTCCAAAATGGATCTATTGGTTCTTTTGGCAGCCCATGGCATTTTCAATATTCTCCTCCAATTCTTCTACGGTCTTCCTTATTCACTGTCCAGCTTTTGCATGCATATGAGGTTATTGGCTTGGGTCAGGAGCACCTTAGTCCTCAAGCTGACATCTTTGCTCTTCAACACTTTAAAAAGATCTTGTGCAGCAGATTTGCCTTATGCAATATGTCGTTTGGTTACTCACTACAAAACTGGAAAAAAAAAAAATTATGGTATGTAACACAAACACAGGGAACCCTGGTAGCATAGTGATTACGTGCTGAGCTGTTAACTAGAAGGTCATCAGCTCAAATCTACCAGCCACTAGTGGCAGAAAGATTAGGCTTCTGTTCCTATAAAGATTTGGTGGTGGTAGTTATGTGCCATGGAGTCGGTACCGACTCATAGCGACCCTGCAAAGGGTTTCCGAGGTTGTAAATCTTTATGGGAACAGAAATCCTCATCTTTCTCCCAAAAAACTGCTGGTAGTTTTGAACTGCTGACCTTGAGATTAGCAGCCTGATTTGAAACCACTCCGCTACCCGAGCTCCTTTATAAAGAGGTGTTGTTGTTGTTATGTGCCGTGGAGTCAGTTCCTACTCATAGCGACCCTGTACAGGGTTTCCAAGACTGTAAATCTTTACGGGAGCAGAAAGCCTCATCTTTCTCCCGTGAAATAGCTGGTAGTTTCGAACTGCTGACCTTGAGGTTCGCAGCCCGATTTGTAATCACAATGCTACCAGAGCTCCTTATAAAGAGTTACTGCCTCAGAAATCCTATATAGGTTCATTATGAGCAGCATTTTGGAGGAAGAGTAAACATGACTATTAGTTTTTAATGACCAGAATGCTAACCATGTCCACTAGATGGCAGACCTAGCCTTTCCTCGTCTGCAACTGATGAGCTATTTCAGAATTCAGCATTTCTGTTAAAGTTAACAATTTCTATGTCATGTCTTCTTATTTATGAGTTTAATAAGTACTCAGAATGTGTGAGGTACTAGAAATATTAGCAGGGTAACCATCACAATACAAAAGTAAATTGACCAGTGCAGAGTTTAATAAAAGCAGTAATAAAACCAGTTAACGCAAAACTTGAACAATAAAAATAATTAAATACCCTTTCTGGCATTTAGTATCATTATAAACACTGGAGATATTTTCTTGCATCCTCAGGTGGGGTGTGTTTATTTAAATGTGCTGCATTCAATTACTTAAATGTATCAACTTCTTCCCACCTCTTGACTATGTGTTCCCACCTGGCAGGAGCTATGTATTTATTTAAAACCTCCAATCAGAGCAGAGTACATGGGTTACACTGCTGTTAAGTGGCAGCCAGCGACCCTGTATAAGACTTCCAAGTAGTGGCTGCTGAGTTTGAACCACTGACCTTGTGGTTTGCTTCTAGCGCTTATCAAGCAGTATCATACCAGGATGATGCTTTTATAGAGTGCCTTCGAATCAGTTTGCACTCATAATAACTCTGTATGCAGTCCAGTGTTTATCCCACAGTGCCACACCAGGACTCCCCACACAAGGATAGGCAAATGAAAATTAAACCAATATACTTCTAGTTTATAAAAACGTAAGCGTATTAATAGTTAGATCATTATTCCTAACAATGAATGAATGAATAACATCATCTCTAAAATATTAGATTTTATCTATTTTCCATTGAAAAGTTACGGGAAAAAATGTACACATAAATTTATTCCAATGTTTACCTGAGCATATTATTCAAGTTAGTAATCAGGACTGTGAACCAGGGCATGCCATGTCCTTTGGGAGCTCTAACTAGACATAGAAAGGCTGCATTTTATCTTACAGCAAGATTGCCAATATGCTTCAGTATCAATCCTTGGAGACAGAATCCCAAAGCACTGATACACTTGCATGTAAGCAGGGGTATGTAATTGCTCAGGTTAAATAGTTTGAAATTCATCAAGCTAACAAGCTGCATCTTAATGGCCGTGATGGACCTTTTCTTTTTCTGCTGAAAAAAGAATATTTACACAGCTCAACCCTTTCATATCTCTTCCAAGCCAGCCCTAATCATCTGACAAAACAACGACAATCCCTTGATTTAGCTCCAGCTACTACCCCACTGGTTTGGTATTCAACACAATTCTACCATAATGAAATCTGAATGGCCTTGATGAAGATAACTGATGCTTCCATGACTACCATACTATTAAGTCTCAGTGTGCAACTTTTCCCTCTCTAGGAGTTACATAGGTTTCCTCATTGGCGCTGATGACAACCTGGACCCAAGCATAATGGGCAAATAAAATAGAGGTTAAAGCCACTGGCACATCGCCAATGCATCCACAATTTATTTTAAAAATTAACTTTTGAAGGACTATTATTCATGACTAATTTTGCTCTTTATTCTAGATACCTGGAACTACATTTTGTTTTTGCTAATATAAAAAGCTTTTCTTCTGTGACTTCCAACAAACTAATAAAGGATTATGTTACTTTTTGCTAGAAAACAATGAAAGAAGAGATCACAGGGAGCAATTTCTTGAAACATCTTTATAAAGAAATGACAAGCAATTCAAGGCACGAAGTGCTGATCTATCTAAGCACTTAAAGCCATTATTAGGAATAATGATCTAACTTGAACATATGAATGAGACTCAAGTATTGCTTTCACTGAGACCTATTTAAATTCCTATGAGGCTTACTGGTATCAAAGGGAAAGACAGTTTAAAGTACTACTGTACTGGGGGGGTGGGGGGGAAGAATCAAAAGATGATGTTGAAAAACAGCATTGGGAATGTAAGAAAATAAAATCAGAGGTTATGGCTGTAACTCATTCAATACAGTTTTTTGTATGAGTAGATAAAGGTCTAGACTAGACCTGTCCAACAGAAATAGAATGTAAGTTACAAATGAAAGTCTTATGTGTAATTCTAAAATTTCTAGCAGCCACATTAAATTATATATAGGTGAAATTAAATGTAGTCATATATTTTATTTAACTCAGCATATCTAAAACATCATCACTTTAAAACATGCATTTAATATAAAACATTGAGAAATTTTACACTCTTACTTTCATATAAAGTCTTTAAATCTAGCATATATTTTACAATCATATTTACGCTTGGACTGACCACACTTCAAGCGCTCAAAAGTCACATATGGCTTGTGGCACATAAAAAGGCACAACTACTTTTATCCATTAAGATTCAGTATTGAAAGTTATCCAACTTACCAACAGTTCTCTTTTAGTTATGTTTGTTTTAGTACTAGCAAATAAGGTTTTAAAAACTCAAAAAATTCTAGAACAATATCCTTTTCACACGTACCCTAACAATCAAAATGAAATAAATGCTCAAATTGTTGCTTTAAAAATATATATATGAGTAAATGGACAGACTGAATGCCACCTGGGACTATGGTTTTCTCAGGGAAAAGAAAGCAAATAACACATTTTAAAAGTAGAGCAATATTTGATAGTTCCTTTTTTTATTTTTAAGGACTTTAAAATAAAATTTTATAGAAGTATAATGGCTCTGATTCTTAATCTCTAAAGAGCTGTACTTCCTCTGAACTATTCATGCTTCTAGCATTCTACTTATGTAAAGCTCTGGGTGAGAAAGCCGACACCCCAGGACAGCTGTAATTTCTCAACTGTACAGACAAGCAATGTCTAAATTTTAGTATCTTGTCTTTGCCTGGATTGAAACAATAATTATTTAAACCCATTTTCAAGACTTAGGATTACCAACTATTATCATTTCCCCCAACCAGTGGACATTTAAAAAAAAAAAGCCTTTGTTTTGGTAAATTTTCATCAGGAAAAAGTATAGCAAACTGGTATACTCATATTTTACATCAGCTTGTGAACAGAGGATTACTATTATGTTCCATGACCTAGAAAGCTGATATGATTAAGCATAAAGATGCAGAAATCACAAGTTCAGTCACAAATTACCATGCTTTCCTTAGATCAGCCAGAGCTTAGAATAAATCATCTGCAAGATTTTAGCTAACTTCCCAAGTACCACCCAACTCTTCTGTTAACAAAGCTGCTCTTAAAGCTTCAGTATTTTGTTTTATAGCAAAATAAAAGGCATGCTGAAAATTTCATCCATGGCATAGACAAGCTGTTTTTTAGGAGAGGTATCTCATGTGTAGAGAGAAAGGCTGTCTTATTTCTCAGAATAGGAGCACTCAC